TTCATCTTTGTTAGTGAGAATTAGATCCAAAATGGCTAATCCCCTAGTTCCCTTCTCTACTTTTTGGGAGACAAAGTTGTCTGCTAGGTTTGCCAGGAACCTGTTTGATCTTCCACTTGGTGCAGAGTTTGTCTCCCAGTTGATGTCAGGGTAGTTAAAGTCCACCATTACTATTGTGATGTCCTTCCTACATACCTTAGTTAGCTGATAGATACTATTAGTTTATTATTACAGCCATAGGCCAATACATAAAATTAAACATTGAAGTAAAACAGAACTAAACAGAACTGAACACAAGAAGGCATAGCAATATATTACAATTAATGATGTAATCAATGAGTGTTCAAAATCTGCCTAGTTTTACAGACAGTATAACAAAGCCTATCTACTTTCAGAGAGACTGAATCATACTGACCTGACAATAAAAATACATTGAGTATGGTCTAATATTGAATAAAAACATGTAATAAAATTAATTTTAAAAGATTATTAAAAAGATCTAAAATATTTATGTTTCTGACGAATCCCCAATGCTGCTGCTCAGAATCTAGCCACCTGCGCTGTGATCATTGCCTGCTCATCCTTAAGCAGCCACTGTAGATAAATACTTTCCGAACAACCAGGATACCTATCGATTATGGGGAGGATATGGTTTTTCCGAATAGCTCTATAGAAGGAACATTGAAAGAGTATGCATCCAATAGTCTCCACCTCTCCTGAGCCACAGGAGAGAGTCTTTCAAACAATAGTGTCTTTTTATACTTGCTGTACAAGACAGCCGATGGAAACGCATGGCACCTTGAGAGTGAAAAAGCTTTCCAGTGGTTTACTGACTCCAACTGACTAAGATAGCAGGCAGATGTAACAACATATCTAATAGAGTCTGGAGCCAGAAACAGCGGAGCTAAACCTAAGTTTGCTTGCCTCTCAATGTCCTCTACCCTTTGTCACAACATTTGTTTTGCTTGGTTGTAGTCCAATTTGAGTATTGAGGCTGAAGAGAAGCCTAGTTTGGCAAGATTGGACTTGACTACCTTGATCGATGAAGAGAATTTATCTTGGAGGATTAATGGAGCAAGGCCTTGCGGAAAGCAATTAAGCCTTAGTCAGATATTTAAGGAAACTATGCAGGTTTTTGCTTCGACTTTTATCAATCCTGTCTCCAGGCACCGAAATGCATTTGAGACACAACGTGGCATCTGGAGAATTGTTCTAATAAATTTGGATTGAACTCTTTCTAATGATATGAAACACGAAGCTGAGGGTCTGAGCAGGGTCCCATAGAGAAGCTGTGCTAGTGACTTGGCCAGAAGGAGCTTAATTGCAGCTGGAACATAGTATCCTCCCTTTTGCGGAAAAATTTAAGGATGGCGTTCGCTGATCATTGGCCAAGGCAGCTGCATATTCTCCATGTGCTTTTTGTGAGCCAGTGGCATGGATGACCACCACTAGGTACTTAAAGGTCGTTACCTGCTCTATTTTATAGCTGTTTAAATACCATAAGAACAATTTTAGCCTTTTTGCAAAAGCCATAATCTTTGTTTTCTCATAATTTATGTCCAGTTTATTGTAATTGCAATACTGGACAAGGGCTTGCAAAGCTCTTTTAAGGCCAACTGGAGTCCTGGAGAGCATAAAGCAGCAGGGCAATGCTTTGGTCACCTAAGTAAAAAGTACTGATGTAAAAGCTGAAAAATTGATACGTAGATTTTTTTAAATAAGCATCCTAATAAACTTTGAGGCAATTCCTAATTTTAACTCTTCTTCATTTACAGGATTTCTCTTTTCTTTTGGGGATTCAACTGTCAACACTACAAACAAATTTAGCTGAAGCCATTTTCCTTTTGTTTTCAGTTGCCATAGAATTGGGAGGGGGTATGGGTATTTTTTAGATTAGTCAAAACAATAAATTGTTCTGTGGGAACCAAGGTCATTGCTGATTGCATCTTGGCAGACTGAAGCTTCCATTAGAAAGCCCACTGAAGTAGTTAATTGGGGAGTGTGGTTTATGATATATTACTGGGGTGGGAAGATCAATTTTGTAACATTGTAACCTTTGGGATGGAACTTCAGTCTTGGTTTCACTTTTGATTGTGCCAATACTATGTAGCAAAATAAATATGTTCTTTAAGGAAACTTTTTTGCCTTGGAGTTCTCTTTTACTGGTATTGTCTATCAGACCAATGACACTGCCTTTGAAAACCACCTAGTATTGAATCAAACTGGCTATTCTGTAGTTTCATGGATTGTAATCTGTGTAACATTTTTAATCATTATTCTAAGTATTTATCATAAGAAAAGGTGCCTTGTTAGTCTTTTAGCTATGAGCCTGGAGGCAGCCTTTTCAACAGCCCTCTTATTTGGTCATCAAGGTCTAAATGGAACTCATTGTTAGCACTTAGGGATCCAGTGAAGATGCTGCTTTTCTGCTGAGATTTTAGGAATAAGGTTTATTTTATTATACCATTGTTAATTGTTTGGCTTGTTTTAAAGTTTCATTTTTAAAAAATGTCTAAGGATAATGACACCACTAAAGCACAAAGGACCATTTTTTTCTTTCTTTCCATTAGGAAAGTTTCCAAAATATCAGAATCTAAGCTTTCTTATACTTCATATGAAAATCAGAAGAAAATTATGCTACTATTGTTGGGCTATCATCAGATTTTGGCAGCACTATTTTTGGAAACACAAAAATGGTTTGGGAATAACATGGGACCACTAAAGATTGGTCAATAATAAAGATTTATATCTACATTTTTGAATAGTTTTTTTCATATTTCATACTTCCCAAAGATAAGGCTATCTTTAAAGTCTTAAGTGTGGTTCCAAAGTGCCATAAAATTGCAGCTCTTAAATCACCTGAAAAGAGTACCAAATTAATTACCTGTCATTTTACCATGAGATTAAATGTTGTCTTTATTTTAAGGAGCTGACAAATAAATCATCTACTGAATCATGGTCTATATTAGCTAACTCTACCGATTTCTTAATGTTTTATTATATACAGTACATTCAGTTGCACAGCCAGTATTGTAATGTTATAAATTGGTGGCATAGATTGATGTCCACTTATCTAAGAAATGTTCATTATATCATGGGTGGAATATAATTTGGAGATATAAAGTCAAGTAAATGCAGCAGTTTGTCCCTCCTAAGTCACAGGAATCCATTGCATTTACTTGATCCAAAGTATTTCCTCAAACAAAATTTTAAATATTTTAAATAAAGCAACATTTTGAGAAGACAAATCAACTATGTATATTAATAATTCAGGAGAAAGGAGTCAACATTAAATGAGAAACCTTCTATAAAATTAGAAGCAAAGTTGTTGATAAATTTTTCCATGATTTATATGGTAATCCCTTATTAATATGACTACATTTACACCAACTGCACTGAAATACAAATACTTTGAAATATAATTACTGAATATAATTAGAAACTTTCTACTGCACCCAAAATTTATAACAGATTTATTTGGCAACAAAATAAGATTTTGTTCCTACATATAAGATTATTAATGATTAATGCAATTGATGATGTATTAAATTGATAATGTTATTATATTAATGTTTGCAACAGTTCTTTTTTCTATTTATTAGTCTGCTTATTCACCATGGTATATCTATCATTCCTTCAAAATCTAAAGTATTTTTAAATTAGCATTTAATGAAATTTGAAAAACTGACAGCTATTTTCCCCACTTGGTTTGGCTGTTGAGAACTTAAAACAAAAAGTAACCAAAGCCTTGATAAATGCAGATTATGAACAATGGATTTCTATTCAATAGAGAATTGAAAAGAACTTATTCCAGTATAAATTCTTATTAAAACATAATATCATTTGAACAAACAAAAATAGGTATGTACTATACATCTATGTTTTCAATCATAATATGTTAAAAGACTTTTCATAATTAAATTGCTTCCAAAGCATAGGCATCCATGGGTTGGGAGTGGGGATACAACATCAGACATGTTCCATTTATTTGGCATATTTATGACTAACTGTGAATCAGAAGTACTTCACACAAAACTACACCCATTCAAAGACAGCTCTAGATTTTGGGATTCAAAGTGCACAATCAAATAAATTTGGCAGCTGAGCCCTTATTTGCAAGTCAGCTATAACCCAATGGGCAAAGCAAGTTTCTTTTCTTTTGCAATGAAGCTCTGCAGCCCCTGAGATATTAGAACACTGCTATCATGTCTCCCCTCGTCCTTCTCTTCATTAAACTAGACATACCCAATTCCAGCAGCCGTTTCTTATATGCTTTGGCCTCCAGTCCCCTAATCATCTTTGTTGCTCTTCTCTGTACTCTTTCTAGAGTCTTAACTTCTTTTTTACATTGTGGTGACCAAAACTGGATGCAGTATTCCAAATGTGACCTTACCAAGGCATTGTAAAGTGGTATTAACACTTCACATGATCTTGATTCTATCCCTCTGTTAATGCAGCCTAGCACTGTGTTGGCTTTTTTGGCAGCTGTAGCACACTGCTGGCTCCTATTTAAGTGATTGTCCACTAGGACTCCAAGATCCCTCTCACAGTTGCTACTATTGAGCAAGGTACCACCTATACTATACCTGTGCATTTGATTTTTCTTGCCTAAATGCAGAGCCTTACCTTTTTTACCATTGCATTTCATTTTGTTAGATCATGCCTATTATGTCCTGGGCCTGCTGAGTCATTCAGCAGGTGCAGGAGACTGTAGAAAGACCCAGGCAGACATGTGAATGCCTGGGACCAGACAGGCTATCTCCTGCCTTGCGCACATGCACAAGGAGGGAGAAATGCCTTGCATTGATTGGCTGTGACTGTCCCTGCAAGGGGGTATAAGAACAATCCATGCCATTTTGTTTTGGTTCTGTTAGAGAAAATAAAGAGAAGACTGTTTTACTTCTTTGTCTCATCTCAATGCCTTTGCGAGAGAAACAGAACATTGGCGACGAAAGTGGGATCATGCTGCAAATGAAACAACGAAAGAGAGGCTGACTCACCATGGAAGGCCTGAAGAGCTGAGAAGTCCGGCGTCCCAAAGAAGTGACTCTGTCTGCCAGTATGAGAACGCTGGAGGAGAGCTCGGCAAAGGGACCCCTTCTTCAGCCATTGCAGCATGAGGCATTGTCGAGGCTACCGGATAGCAACGATGTCCAAAATCGGTCATCTCTCTGAATTCGACACAGCTCATCCAGAATGCTGGAGTTCCTGTGTAGCTCGGGTAGAGAATTACTTCCAAGTAAATCAAGTGAAGGAAGACGGCCTTAAAGCTGTTACATTATTGTGTGTCTCTTGGCAGGAGACTTTTGATATTGTGGAAAATCTGGTCGCCCCAGCACCACTTGAATCCGCCACTTATGCTGAGTTGAAGAAGATGCTGCATGAACATTTTGAACTGAAGCTTTCGGAGATTGCATGGTGACACACATTCAAGCAGAGGGACCAGCAGCCTGGTGAGTCTGCTGTGGACTTTATTGCTGTGTTACGACAAGCAGCTAGGTCATGTGAATTCAAGGATCTGGAAGAGAGACTTCAGGATCGTTTAGTCTGTGGATTGAGAAGTTGTGAGCTGCAAAAGAAGAGGTCTCCTTCCAAGATGCTTTAAGAGAAATTGCAGCCGAAGAAGCAGTGGGCAGAGTTGTGAAGGCCTTGTGGCTTGCCAAGAACCCTCCAATGGCGGTCTCCGTCCATCAAGAGATCACTCGAGAAGAATCTGAACTGGATACAGAGATGGAGGTGGACAGACTACAGCAGCCAGTGGAGAAGAGGCCTCAAGAACATTCTGACAAGGCGACTTTATTCCCTCGCTGTTTCAGATGTGGAAGACGCCACAAGTGCTCCGATTGCCATTTCCACTCTGCCATTTGCTGGGCATATGGCAGGCAAGGACACATTGCCTCTGTCTGTTTGGGTTGCCAGAAGGACAAGCTGGCAGAAGACACATATGGTGGGTTTCTGCATGTTGCGCAGAAGCATTTTCAAAACAGGGGCTCATAGGCTGCTTAGGAAGAAGTTTCACATTGATGTGAGGTTGCAAGGAGTTCCCCTATTGATGGAGTTGGACACTGGGTCCACTTTATCGATTATCTTGCAGGACACTTTTAAAAAGATTTGCTGTAGAAGTGGTCAGCGAGTTAAACTCGGGCCGTCAAATCTGATTCTCACTGACTTTCAGAATTCTTGAGTCAGTGTAAAAGGAGAAGCCATGATCCAAGTGCAGCGTAGGAACTTCAAGGGATTCTTAGATGTAGTGGTAGTTGGGAGTGATCATACGAATCTTATTGGACTCGATTGGTTTGAGGCCCTGGGAATCCAAGTGACTGGACTTCACAGTCTGCAAATGACCGGCCTTGCAGAAGTTTGCAAGGAGTTTGCTGATGTGTTCAGTTCAGAGCTTGGCTTGTACAAGGGACCTCTCATTTCCTTACATTTAGAGCCAGCCGTTACACCCATTAGGAGTCAGCCTAGACAGGTGCCCTTCACATTGAAGAATAGAATCAATGCAGAGCTGGACAAGCTGCTCCAGCAGGGCATTTTAGAACCTGTGGACAGCAGTCCATGGGAAACCCCCATAGTAACACCACTGAAGGCCAATGGAGAAGTCCGAATTTGTGTGGACTATAAGTGTACACTTAACAAAGTCTTGCAGCAGCACTCATACCCAGTGCCCATGGTGAACCACATTCTGGCTTCCCTCAAGGGAGGTTGCATTTTTGCTAAACTTGATTTGGCTCAGGCCTATTAAGAATTACCAGTTGATTAGGCAATGGCTGAGGCCCAAACAATTGTAGCACACCGGGGAGCGTTCAAAGTCAAAAGGCTGCAGTTTGGAGTTAATGTAGCCCCTGGCATCTTCCAGAGTGTGATGGAGCGAATGTTCCGCGATATCCCAGGTGTTTGCCCGTACTTTGATGATGTCCTCATTGCTGGGGAATCATCTGAAAATCTGGCTGAAAGGCTTAGAGCTGTCTTGCTGCGTTTCCACCAAGCGGGGCTGAAGCTAAAGCAAGACAAATGTAAAATTGGGGTCACTTCAACAGAGTTTCTGGGGTTCTGTATTGATGCTGAAGGCATCCATCCTGCTGAATCTAAGCTTAAAGCAATTCAGCAGGTGCCAAGTCCCAAGTCCAAAAGCAAACTCCAGACTTTTCTGGGACTGTTAAACTTTTACCATTCATTCCTCCCTCACAAGGCTGCAGTGGCTGAGCCGTTACACTGGCTCTTGGATAAACAGGCTCCATGGCTGTGGACAAAGGTCCACGAAAGGAGTTTTGCAGAGGTCAAGGCCTTGCTATCTTTAAATGTGGTTCTAGCGCATTTCAATGAGCAATTGCCTGTATGCATAGCCTGTGATGCATCCCCTTATGGGATTGGGGCTGTGTTGAGCCAGTTGAAGGCTTATGAGACAAAAGTCCCTGTAGCCTACTATTCTAGGACCCTATCATCTGCTGAACGTAATTATGTGCAGATAGAGAGGGAGGCCTTGGCTATAGTGGCTGGCATAAAGAAATTCCATGACTTTTTATATGGCCGCCAATTCATGGTCTTTACAGACCATAAACCACTGCTGGGGTTGTTCACAACCAATAAGCAAACCTCACATGTCATCTCTCCTAGAATGCTGAGATGGTCTATTTTCCTGTCTGCATATGACTACACACTGCTTTACAAACCAGGCAAAGAAATGGGCCATGCAGATGGCCTCAGCAGATTACCTCTACAGTTAGTGGAGTCAGATCCTACTCCAGCTCACCACATACTGTCCATTCAGGACTTACCTGAGTCTCTCCTCAATGCCAGGGATGGGGCTGCTGAAACAGCACTGATCACATGCTTACATGCGTGCTGACATGGGTGCTGTCAGGATGGCCTGACACATGTCCTGGCACAGAGTTCCAGAGTTTCTGGAAGAGGAAGTCCGAGCTATCCACCTTCAAGGGGTGTATCCCATGGGGTAGCAGGGTAGTCATCCCGGTCTCATTGCAGACTAGAGTCTTGCTTTCTCTGCATGAGGGACATCTGGGAATAGTCAGAATGAAAGTGCTTGCACGCAGCCATCTTTGGTGGCCAGGGCTCAATAAAGAGATCGAGGCCCAGGTCCACGGGTACACTGTTTGCCAACAGTCCAGGCCTGAAATGCCTCAGGCCCCTGTACATAGATGGGAGGAGACACAAGCCCCTTGGTCGAGGGTTCATATCGACTACGCTGGGCCCTTTCAGGGGCAATTCTTCCTTCTCCTCGTGGACAGCTATTCCAAATGGCTAGAGGTTGTTCCAATCTCCTCCACTATTACTACTAGGACCATCCAGGTGTTGAGAGGGATCTTCACTGCTCATGGACTTCAAGATGTCCTTGTCCCTGACAACGGACCCCAATTCATTTCTTTTGAGTTTCAGGCTTTTCTGCAGGCCAACATGATCCATCATGCCACATCTGCACCATTTCATCCACTCCAGGCTGAGTGGATAGTGCGTTAAAGAAAATAACTCATGGAAACTGGCCCCTATAGTCCAAGTAGCACGACTTTGAACTGATAGCTTCCCATAGGACAGTTGAAGGCAGTTTTCCACTTGTCTCCCTCTTTTATTCTCACTTGGTAATATGCCTCTCTCAGGTCTAATTTAGTGAAGACACTCCCCTTAGCCAGATCGGTTAATAAATCCTTTAGGAGGGGGAGGGGGTATTTATTTTCCACACTCACAGCATTGAGACCTTCATAGTCTATGCAGAGATGAAGAGACCCATCTTTTTTTTCTTTGAACAACACAGGGGCTCCCAGAGTAGATTTGGCCCATTCAATAAACCCCCTTGCTAGGTTTTTGTTCATGTATCACTGCATCTCTTCCATTTCAAGGGGGGACATGGCATACATTCTCGGTCGTAGGAGTTTGGCTCCTGGCACCAGTTCAATAGAGCAGTCATTGGGTCTGCGAGGGGGTAGGGCATCACATTCTTTTTCACTAAATGCCTCCGCCAGGTCCCAGTATTCATTGGGGATGACTGGTTCACCTGGAGGTGGTGAGGCAGTGATGTGCACTCACTCACTGGGTGGCCTAAGATGCCCAGTAACATCTGTTGAATCAATGGGGGGATCAGGCCTTATAGGTAGTCTCACAGTTCTCATTCCTTTCTCCCACCAGATAAATGGCTTCCATTTGTCTAACCAGGCTAGCCCTAGGATCACAGTCTCCATCATTTTTGGAGTCACTAGGAAGCAAATAAACTCTCAGTGTGCACCTATTTCTAGGCATAAGGGCTCAGTTAATTGTGTGACAAGAGTCCCTCCCATCAGGGAGCTATCAGTGTGCTCAAACCTCACAGATTTGAAAAGCTGTTTTGCCCATATGCCCATTTTCATGGCAAACGGCAGACTAATAATGCAGCAGGTGCAGCGGGTGCAACCAGAATAAATTAGCATGTTTACGTCCATTTGTGCCCCAGAATTAGGGATTATAAGTTTGGCGGCCAGTGAAAAAGGTGGGATTTGTCGACTTACCATCGGATCTTTCTCTCCTTCATCGTTGCTGTCAAAGGAGGGTAGAGCAGGGGCGGGTCCACCCAGAGTCCCGGAGTCCTCTTGTGTGGGGGATGTAATCTGGGCAACAGGTTCTTGCGTGACCCAGTTGGATTTTTTTCTCATTAGCCCTTGGGCAGATTTCCTTCTCATCTCTGGTTCCAGTCTGTTCTGCAGTCAGGGGTAGGGGACTGGACAGTTTGCTGCTCAATGTCCCTTCTGTCCGCACCAGAAACATTTAATTGATGGGCCTGCAGGTGGCCTGGGTTTTTCAGCCATTGCAGTAGTCAGAGGGTTTTGTGGGGGTGATTGTTGTTCGGATTGCTCTGGCTGCTGGTCAGATTCAGGTGGGGGAGGCTTATAGCGGGCGAACTGAACGTCTAGCTTCACCGCTGCCTGGTACCATTCTCGCAGCTGATCAGGTACAGCTCGATAGATGCAGGCCTGAGAGAGGTGATCATCTAATCCCTCAATGTAGTGATGGATTAGGGACTGCTCTGGCCACCCCTCTATTCGACCTGCAATCTTGCAAAACTCTCACACATACTCCAGGGCAGGCCTGCCGGCTTGTTTTATTTTGTGTATTTGTTTTCCTGCTTTAAG